CCGAGTTCAACCTGTCCCTCGCCGAGTCTAACCTGTCCCTCGCCGAGTTCAACCTGTCCCTCGCCGAGTCTAACCTGTCCCTCGCCGAGTCTAACGTGTCCCTCGCCAAGTCTAACCTGTCCCTCTCTTTTCTCTGCAGGGAGAACCTGGCATCTCAAACACGTCCCCTGGAGCCAAAGGAGAAGCTGGATACCCAGGTCTGCAGGTAAAAGACTCTAATCTGCTCCTCTGTGGTGATCATGGAGTTTAGAACAAAGAGAAACGAACGAGACGAGTAGAAGAGTAGGGAGGGTGGGTGTTACATAAAGCTTCTCTCTAAGGATCCATCCACAGTTTAAAATAATAAAAACATGTTTGAAAGTACAGAAAGAAAATGAAATGATGCAAATGACTCTAAAGAAACATGTTGACCAAGTCAGAACCCAGAAAACTGCTGTTTAACAGATTCATAATGAGAGACGAGATTTAAACCGAGTGTCTAAAAAATCCAGAATAAAACCTGAAGGTGGAGCAGAAACTGGTTTCCTCACAGTTTTAATTGAACTTCAGCTTTTTGTGACCAGAACTGTGACGGTTCTGGGTCCAACGTCCCCAAAGTCTGATGTTTGTGTCTCTGAGCCAACAGGGGACCCCAGGACTGGACGGAGTGAGGGGAGAGACGGGATCCGATGGAAACATGGTGAGGCCTCCGTCATCATCTGGCCTGCAGCTGGAAAACGGCTAAAACACGTTTTTTACTCCGTGGTTCCACTTTCTTTTTTTTAAATATGAGAAACTTTTAGTCTTTGAAAGTTTGCCGTTTGAGCAGCTCAGCTGTTCTGTGGTGTTATTGGATAGAAAGCATCTGAAGCTGTCAGATGGTTCCTGATGTTTACAGCATAAATTCATCCGTTCTTCTTTTAACCTCTGCTGTTCAGGGTCTACCTGGAAGACCAGGAAATCCAGGATCAAAGGTAGGAGAACCAACACTGACCAACACGCTTCGCCCAACAGGAAACCGCTTAACCGTTTCTGCCTCCGCAGGGCGCCACCGGACCGAAAGGCTCTAAAGGATCAGAAGGTATCCAAGGGGTTTCCGGTGCTCAGGTAAGAACCTGGTCTCCAGCAGCTCCAGGTCAGGTGTTTAGCAGAAAGTCCTGCAGGTCCAGTTTTAGAACCTTTAGAACACCAAGGTTCTGCTGACACCGATTGTTTGGACTTATTATCTGGGATGCTTCTGTCTCTGCAGGGTCCCAGAGGGGTCCGGGGTCCTCCAGGACCAGGAGGAGTCCCAGGTCTCCATGGACCGCAGGTCAGCAGGAAGCATTTCTCTCACTTTTAAAGAACCATCACTTATAATATGTTCTTTATAAAAACTATCAACCTGTTTTTTTGTTTTAGTTTGGGTCCTAAAACAAAAGCCTTTTAATTTTATATGATCTTTTCTTATTAGAAAACAAAAAAATTATAATTGTATGGAGTTAAGTTTGCTCCATTAATTGTTTTATTAAAAAAAACACAATCCAGAAATGAAACTGTGAAAAACATGTTAATCAAAGGTTTTGATAAGTATATCCTCTTTTTCTTTTAAATTTTTTTGTTATATTTAAATTTCAAAAATATTTTTACATGTTTTATTTGTTCCAATTTTATGCTTTCAACTATTTTATAGTCAAAGATTTTAGATTTTCTTTAGGAACTTTTAGGAAATGCAGTGTTTTCCTGATCATATCTTCTTCAGCTCTGATGGCCGCTTATTAGTCTGCTGGACGTTTTATTGATTGATTGTTTTATTTCAATTTCCACTCAAATCACAAGGGTTTGTATCCAGCCTGGAGTGAAGTCAATGTGATTTAAAATTCAATCTGGAAAACATATAAAAAAAAAATATATATATATATATATATATAACTCAAACTTTATTTATAAAGCACGTTTAAAACAACCGGGGTTGACCAAAGTGCTGTACAGGAATCACAGTTAAGGAAAATAAGATAAAAGCTAAGGCTAAAATACATAAACACATAAAAATAGAATAAGATAAATGTTTCAATTAAAATATATTTTAGAATAAAATAAAATTTAAAATAAAATTTTGCCAAATGTCCACTTAGACATGATTAAAATATAAAACACAATTAAAAGCGTAGAAATATCTTATATCTTTTGTAAAAATTCAGACATAGATAAATAAATTCAAATAAAATCTTATAAAAAAAAGGAAAATTACTCTCAAAATGTTTTTTTGAGTAAAATATTTGTAAAGATTTATTCCTTAGTGGCCTATATTTACATTTTTATTCACCAAATGGTTTTTATTTAAATTTCCATTTATAAAAGTTTTTCTTATAATGTAATATGTAATAATGGAACAAAATTCACTCTATAGATTCACTGATGATGCTACGTTCAGACCGCCACAGCAGGAGCAGTGAAAACGCCGCGTAATG